GAGCGTAGTGGAATATAGCATGGTGGAATAGGATCACACTGCCTCATAGGTAGAATGGGATGATAGATTGTGGTCCAAAAGAAATTAAGTTTCCCTAGAAAGTCTACAGGACAGGAAAGCAGATCAGCTGGGGATAAATTGCTCCTTTTAACTGCAGTGCAGAGCTGTCCTGTTTTCCTAAGGAGGTAGAAGAATGGCGTAGCTGGCAACTGGGAAATGCTAATGTGATGTTGGATAACTCAGCTGACATGGCAGAAAGAAGGAAGATTTCTGGTGGTTGTATTTGTCATCTGGGGAGTGGGGAAACTGAGGTGGATTTTTTTTTCTTGTGGCATAATATGGTGGGGGAAGGATCTTGTTTTTAAACAGAATTGGTCCCAACAAAGGGAAAGAATCCATTTGTTCTGCCTGTCACCTCATTTATTCCGTTACCTGTCTTCACTATGAATATTTTGGATGTGAAAGGCTTATAAAAAGACTTTTTTAATGTTTTAGAAGGGCCAAACCTCTAGCCTACGGACAGAAATTACACACAAACTGGTATAAGTAATTGGAAACTGGTTCAAATTTGTAACACAACAGAAGTTCGGTGCACATATACCGCTTTCAAAATGGCTGAAAACAGTTTAACCAGTTTCCATCTAGTTTTAACCTGGATGGATGTTGTATCAGACTTCACCGATTTAGGTTAAATCAGTTTATTGAACTTCAGTCCCGGATCCTAAAGCTGTTCTAGCTGGCAGAGCATTTCCTCCAGGATTCTTTACGTGTAGTAAACGCCATCCTGCCAAAACAGTTGGGTACCGGATATCTTTTGTCGTCTTCCTGTTTGTCTAGGTTTTTTCCTCACCTGCTTTCTTCCTTCATTATTGCTGAATGTGAAACTCTGCCTTCCCTTCACAAAGTCAAAATACGGCCATTAGAAAAATAGTTGTGCCAGTAGGAATGGTTGGCATATTTAAAGAAGTGCCATGAGTCTAGATTGACTATAATAAAAAACTGGAATGGCCAACGACGGAAGAATCTGTGGGTGGTTGGTAGGTACGATGGTGTTTACACATCGCTGCTTTGTTTCTGGGGCTGGGAACAAAGTCTAGAGTAGGAAGTTCTGATTATAGTGAATATGCAGTAGAAAGACGGCAGGTTTAAAAAGTCACTATTCTGCTGGGCTGGATTCAGGTTTGAAGGTTTTCCTTGGATGTTTAATGCATAGCATGTCGAGCATTCAGTGAAAAGAGAGGAGTCAATCTTAACCTTGTGTCACATATCAAACTCGATCTCGAGCTTGCGTCAGTGTGCCAAGCCTGTCGTTTTTGTTTGAAAATGACATCCAAGGGTGCATTTCTTAACAAGTAGGAAAGGCAGGGTAGGCTTTTTGTCTCTTTGAAGTACAGTTGTAGTACTGTTTATTCCTGTCGCTTGCAGTAGGGCCAGCCTCTACAGATACAAGCTATGTTTTTGCTAAAGTATAAAGTAAGATGAAGCAAGAGACATATTTGTGCAATTTGTTTCTTTTTCTATACTCTTGTTTCTGCACAGGGCAATTGAAGAATGCTGTGAAGCTGTACTGCCCAGCGTTGTCTCTGTTTGTCATGGTGGCGTACTGCATGTAGTTCAGGTCCGGGTATTACCAAATGAGCAGTTACATGCATTCGTGTGTATGCATTAGGCATGTCACAAATTTCCAAGAGATGAAGATGATTCAGAATACTTCGTATGTTCAGATCAAATGCTCTTTTTACACATCTAGTTAGGACGCAAACACTATGAATAAAGTCTCACCATGAGGGTGGTCTGTGCAGACTGTGGACGCGCTGTCACATTTTGTATATTTACAGCGTGAAATATTTAAACGAAAACTCCTTGGTCTTTCATAAATTCCAAACTCAATAAATCTTGCATTTAAAAAACAACTAAATAGGCATTTAACTTATACCTTTTGCAACGTAAAACCCATAACCCATATTGAAGAATAGCCTTTTTCAGAAGGAACTGATATAATATGGAAATAAAGGAAATGCATTTTCCCCTTTAGTTGTTGGGCAGTTATACCCATTGCATGCATCTTTCATTGAATATTTACTGATGTGTTTCCAAATAATTTCACTGTATGTTATTGTAAATTAAGTTATTTTGCTGGAGTAGATGATCATAAATTGTGCTTCCCCACTTGTACAGACACTGTCTTATACGTTATGCTAAAATGAATGATCAGTCTTCACTTCCTGAAAATCAACATTACAATTTTACTTACTTAGACTATAAAAGCTTCCAGGTAGGGTTTTTTTTTGTTTTTTTTTTATACAGCCCCGTGGGGCTGGTTAAGTCCTCCCCAGGAGTGATCTGAATACAGTGAAGTTGCATAGGTATAACGGAGGAAATATCTGTGTCCTTAGAAATTATAGTTGATGATGATTTGATTTCTCTCCCCCCACTTCAAAAATGTCCTGTCTCTCCAGTCCCAGGTTAAATCTAGATCCCTGGAAGTTGTTATACACGTTTACTGGTCAGTTGTGCACATTTTATGAGAAAATTGAGATGCAATGGCAGTTTGTGGTGCTATGTTTAGACTGTTATTTTTAGTGTGGAACAGCATTTAAACCCGACACACACCTACTCATACTAGCAGTGTTTATTTGCATTATTCATTATGAGAATTTGTTCCATCAGGGCTGTCCAACCTCTCGATGGCAGGGGGGCCAAACATGATGTGGGCGGCCTGGCTCTCCCCCTGCTGCTATGCAGCACCCTCCTGCCACCCCAGCCTGCCCCGAGGCCTGGGTGTAGGAAGTGGCGGCCAGAGGTGGGACAAGAGCCTGGAAACCCTGGTAGGAGCAGTGGAGGGAAGGGCATGTGAGCAGGAGCCAGGGGCCCAGCTAGATGTTGCCTGCAGGCCGTCAGGTGGACAACCCTGAACTGTGCAATAGCGTGCGGTTTTGCAAACTCCTTTTGAAACCATTAAGCATGCTTCAGGTGATAAACCTTTGAAACTAGCTGGTTGTCTGTAAGGTATAGCTGCACATTTCTGTTTTGGAGGCGAGGCTGGGCCTGGTTTTAGCATTGGTGAATGTTGCTGTGCATTGGGAGCAATGGCTTAACTATGGATTCACTGGTTTAGCTGATTTCACGTGGAAGAAATTACCACAAACTTTAAAAAACCAAAAACCCCAAACCCTTCTTAAAGAACAGGTTTGCACTAGCTCTAAACTGAGTATTTGGACTTCAGTTAGATCCATGCATGCATTGGAGCTGAGATTGCAACATCTAGTCTCATACAATGTTCTCCTATCTACGGTTCCTGAAGCATCCATCGTGAAGTGTCTTAGTATTTGATTTTCATGACTTGAATTACAGAAGAGAGGCCAGCACTTAACAACATTTAACACCAGCAGTATCTAAGATTATCACAGTTGTTTTGCCCTGTAGTAAAATAGTAATTTTTAAATACTGTTGTGTCAGACGTTAATAAATGTTGACATTTTTAATATAAGCCACTCTGTTACAACTGTTGTCTTGTCACTAGTGCTTTGCCGTGTTAATTTAATGTTGCTTAACTCCCTTAAATATAACACCCTTATCATAGCTGCTTGATAAATCCACACGAATTGGGCAGACTACATGACTGGTACTTGATGACCAGTTTCCAGCTGCGATTGTGGGTTTCATGGACGTGTAGACCTCTGTGCAACGAGAACTGAAATGGAGCACGCAAGCAGTAGGACTTCAGGTTTGCTACCCTGAGCCAAGTGCTGCCCTTTAGAAAACTTATGAAATTCGTATCTCTAACTTGTAGATGCAGTACGATGTAGCAGTGCTATCGTGGACCTCATTCGCTTTTGGATGGTGTCCTTTTCATGTGCCCTTTAAAATGAAAATCACTCATTTGGATATTATGCAGTAATTGCCATTCTTAAAACCTTTTACAGCAAAGTTAGAATTGAAGGTTTAAAAATGCAGTTAAGGGCTCCACAGCAATGCTAACTGTGTTGACTGTGTTTTGTATAATTATTTATCATTAAATATATGCCTTAATTGATCTTCATTGTGGTCCAGTTTAACGTTACAATTAAAATCCGACTTCTGTGCAACTTCTGCCTGTTTTTTTTCAAAGAAGGTATAGTTTTTTTGCAGAAACGATTTTTGGCCTCTGAATTTAGTCATTATATTTTTTACATGCTCACTAAGGAATAAAGTTAGTGTTTGTATCTGTTCCCGTATGGCTCTAGAGTACTTGGAATTCAAAGGTAGCCATCGCTTTCACTTTGGAAACTAATTTGTGACATTACAGTTGAATTTCTTTCTTTTCTTTCCTTGCCAAACTCATAGATCCAGGGGAATTTTCTTCATTAGAATTTTTTTTTTGTTCACTGCTTCTATTTTAATGTCTATTATGTGTGTTTTATTCTGCCTCCCTTGATTCTGCAGGGGTATGAAGTGAAAGCTAGGAAATTTTTGCTTCATTTGCCCGTAGCACCTGGACAGGGACTGAGCAGTCAAGGAGCTTAGGCCTAGATCTTCAAAGGTATTTAGGTGCCTACCTCCCTTTGATTTCAGGTTGAAGTCCATGGAAGCTGTGCACCTAAATAGCTTTGAGAATCTGATCCCTACAACTTTCCTCAGCATGGTGGGGAGAGGTACCTGAGTGCCCAGACCCACTTCAAATGACTGTACTTGGGTGTAAGAGTGACCCCATATCCCCCAGAATAATAGTGTGGTGCATCAGAGGTGGGGGTGCAAGTCTGTGTGTTTTGCTAATCACTGTTCCACTTTTTCACGCTCTTAATGATGGCAAGGTCACAATTTTCTACTCTCAAGTTACAAATTGCTATGTTAATATCCAGAACCTGACTTCACGGATTACTACAATTGCCATTGAAAGGTGAAGCTTTAAAACTCTAATTAATCTCTAAAGTACAGTTTTGGTTTTCAGTAATCGATATGTGTATATTGCGTGTGCTTTCTTTCTCTCTGGATCAAAGTTTTCCTTAATTCGCATTTACCCCTCTTTGAAGCGTGAAGGAGAAGCGAGTGTAGAAGGAGTTCTCAATCAGCTGGTCCTCGAGCATCTACAGTTGGCTCCTCTCCAGTGGGGTGAGTAATAGAAGAAAACATCGTTGTTCATTTTAGAGCACATAGTGATTTCTAATTTCCAGTAATATATTCCTTATAGAGATTCATTGCCTCAATGAAGATAGAGGATGTATGACAGTATTTACATTTTCATTTACTCATAGGAAGTCTATGATGTGGAAGAGGTTGCTAGGAAACTGTTTTTTTTTTCCATGAATATGTTGCTTAACTGGAGACAATTTTATAATTTATGTATTTTTTTTTCTTTAAATCATATTCATGTCAAATATGTTGGTAACAGCTGTTTTCCATCTAAGCAGGAACTCCTTGTGAACCGCGGTCCTAATTGCTTTGTACAAGCGGCAACTATTGTGAACGTTTTCCTTTTACGTTGTAGTATATGTCATAGCATCAGCTATCTGGAGTTTTACTCATGGACTAATGATAAACTTCTTTGAAGTTATATTTATTACCCTATCCTACCGTTTTCAATTGCTCAGGCTTTCAAGCATTGCAAGGGTGAGTACCAAGGAGGATGTTTCTCTGTAACTGGACGTTTAATATAATACCAGAGCTGGGAGATGTTTACGCAGAATTAATTCAATGTGAAAGAGTCATGAGCAATTGGCTCCTGTGCAAGAGCACCTTGCAACCACACGCGTGTGTATAAATCATGTACAGCCGAAAGCCCTTTATTTTGCTCTCGGCTTTGAGCATGCCAGCTACATGTAGAGCTTTTATTGTTCAATTAGTTTTCATGTGGGGAAAAAATGAGTAGTCATGTATAGGAGATTAATGAATTATGACCAGAGTTTAGTTGCTGCTGATTTTACTATTGTACAATGAACTGGTTGATAGGTTACAATTTATGACACAAGTAATGTGGCTTGTGAACTACTGTATGTGGGGATTATTATTATTCTTTTGTTTGGGGGGGTTGGTTTTTGATCAAGTATTCATGCTTCAATACGGGGCTTAGATTGACGTAACAGTTCCAGTGATATCAAAGAACGCCGATACAAGCTGTCGGGATGGCGCTGTTGTATCTTCACGATTCTGTAGCACCAGATGTGTGCCGCTTCATTCAGGGTTAAACCTAAGGCCATTTAGCTTTCTTTTTATTGCTGCTGACTCACAAAGACATCACAGAGCATGAGAGCGGCTGCATGCTCCCAAGCAGCAGGTTCCTTTCTCCTTGTAAAGCGGCTAAAATGCGCATGACTGTCGGCCCGTGGTTTATCATCAGTCTCAGCTATGTAGCATGGATCAGCTCATGAAAAAGCAATATCAGTTACCAACCTGAGGGCTCCACTAATAGTAAGGAGGTTAAATGACCGTTAATAGCAAATTGACAAGTTTTTTTTTTTAATAACATTTTGCATAAAGCATCAGTATATCACAAGCTAGTATAACTGGCTTAGAAAAAAGTGAAAACCTGTATAAAACGGGAGTTAGCATTATCCAGTGTTTGAAAGGTGTGTACTTCACATCACTGCTGGGCATTATTAGTTTTGATGTGAAAATAGACTCCAGCTTTAACATGCAAAATAAAACTTAATCAACAGTTTGCAGTATAATTTTTCCCCCCACATCTTTCTGGGGTAGTACTATCCTTTTTTTTTTTGTATTAAGTAAAAATGCTGTGAAGGTGTAGGCCAGTGTCAGCATTTTGAGAGGCTTTTTTTTCTTTCAAGCATTTTGCAGGAGGTTGTTTTTCTTTGAGTTGTGTTATTTTAATATTGCATAAGAAAGGCTTGTGTTTTGTGCTGATGCTACTCGTACAGAATGATCAAGCATTTGTTTGTGCAATGTTTGCATGTATTGACTGTGAAGGTCTTTAAGACTGTGCTTCATGGCTTAATGCTGTACAACCAAAAAATTGCTTCTGCTGTTCCTTAGGACCTGTGCTGTCCTTAGGAAAGCTGACAGTTGCAGTGAACGAGATGCTGTAATTCCAGTTTTCATTTAAATCTGAATGAGTATGTAAGTAGTAATGCCAATGAAAAAGCTGAACCGATACAAATGACTTTGGATGGCTCCTATGAAACTAATAATCTCAATATTGCTTTAAGATCAGACTTATTTATCTCAGTGCATGAAGTTACCCTTTTAAGAAAAAAATCATGTAGCTCATCATATGCCCTTTCAAAATTCTGTCATAATTTCGTATGTCAAATATATTGGTACATTAAATGAAATGTGAAGTCATGCATAATGCATTATTAATGGTAGTAAAATATTTATCTGAGAGCTGGGAGTCAGGTGTGTTTTAAATGAATGTAGGAAAAAAGGCGACAGGAGAGTGCCTCCGTGTGACTCCTTTCTAGTGGATTGTAGAGGTGGTAATGTCAAATACTTTGGTATCAAGCCATGGCAGAAAAATGCAAAGTGGGAAGGGAGAAGCTGACCAGTCTAAAACCATTTAAAGTTGAAAGGACCGTAACGGGGGAAATTATGTCAGGTGTTAATGTGCGGGTTTGTAATGTGTTATTAAAAATTGATTTTAAGATTTAGGCCATCTCTTTAAAATGAAGTTGTCTATTAGGAATTCTGATAAATCACAGTCTAATTGAAAAATGTCATCTTGCTTAACTCTAGCAAGTTTACTACTTCTCAAATTTATGGTGTATTTTTTTTTTTTTTTATTGCTGGGCAACAAACCAAATGTTGGAAGAGACTTGTTTTAAGGTGCAAATACATTACCATCATCAAATTAAAAAAAAAACCATAACACAGAAGCTCGAGGGGCAAAACCAAGACTCTTTTAAAGGACTACATTAATGAAAGTTTAATGTTTGGTTTTGTGAGTGACCAACTATAATGGCTTGCACTGCAACACTCTCTTTTCAGATGTCTCCATTTATTGCAGGTTGTTAAATTATGCTGGAGAACAAAGCTTTGGAGACCAAAAACTGTATCACTCTGTTAATACTCTTCTCCATTTTTGGTGAGAAGCTATTAGTTACAAAGATCATAAGCAAAGTCTTACTGCTTAAAAAATAATACACAATGCTGTTACAGTACTTTAACACATGCATTAAATGTTGGTTTTAACTTATTTGATGCACAAACAGACTGTAAACCTTTAATACAAGACAGAGACAGGGCTAGGACTGTTGGTTTGGAGTTCCTGGGTTCTAATCTTCATTCTGACCCTCTTCTGCCTTCGATATATAATTTAAGACAAAGGTTTCCAACATTTTTCAGACTGATTCAGTACTATAATAGAAGTGGGTATACAGGCCCCTTCCTAGACTAAAGGGAAACGGTTTATCATTTCCTTGGCTCTCCCCCAGGATAGGGTAGTCTTGGATTCAGGTATAGATATTGTGCTTATCTCTCTCAGGGTACAAGCTTGTAAGATGAAGATAATATTAGCTGACTTTGGCGGCATGGTGAGGATTAATAAGTCAAATTTGACTTAGTTCTCTGGAGCACTAATAAATAATAGAAATGCTTGATATTATTATTTTTATAAAGCAAACCTTTGCAACCCTCATTGCCCAGAGGCAATGTCTGACCATTTAAAATATAGTGGTGATTATGCCTCATAAAGTCAGCTGTATAAACACCAGACAAGTTTAGAAAACCAAAGATACAGAACTGTTTCTAAGAACTGTTAATCCTGCTTCACCTCGGGCAAAGTCTGCAAGTAGTGTCTGATAAAAAACAGTTCTTTTCAGATCCTGGCCTGGTCCCAGACTGCTCTAAGTGCCCCGTCCTCATCACCTTGCATAATCAAGCCCTGCGCGATTACAGTGTACTTTGAAGGTTTGAAGTATACTTTTGGATATTTGGGTATTGGACTTCAGCTTTAATGCAGTGTTTCATTTATTTTAAGTGATTACCATAACAAATCTCTAATTAGCTTGATTTTCTTTCCTATGAGATATATAAAAAATGATGACAGATTAAGGTAGACTCTATCCACATTGCATAAAAGCATATACCTTATCCCTTATGCTGCATCACGATCCCTAAAGTCAGCTAAGAGCAGCCTTCTGCACGTACCAGCGGTTTCCAAGTTCACTTGGTGAAAAACCTGTGGGATGTTCTTCATGGGAGTTGGTCCTCAGCTCTGGAAATCCCTCCCTCCTGAGGCCCGCCGCACCTGAGCCTGGACATCTTTTGGAAGGACTGCAAAACTTTTCTATTTAGGCAGGGATTTAGCAACCAAAACTAGGCCAAAATGTTGTTTAGTGGGTCCCTGCTTTCTTTTGTTTTATTTGGTTATTTTGTTTCCTTATTCTACTTGCCCTTCTAATTTCTTTTGTTTCTTCTGCTGTAAGCCACCCTGAAGTTTTGTTGGGAAGGGTATCATCTAAATTGCATAACTAATTAAAAATGCAGATGTATTGCACGGCGGTTCATTCAGGCGTTGACACCTTGAAGCTCTGCAGAGTACTGCCATTGGCATTGTATGATTTATGGAAATTAGAAATGCTCACAGAGGACCCCGCTACACCCCGCAGGTGTCGTGGAATTAGCTGGTTAAGTGCACAGTTACCTGGAGGTCAACTACATGTGCAAAGTAGCTATCGTGCCATAAAAAGCCCCTCCAATCTGCTCTAAAGTTAGACCTGGAAAATGTGTACCAACTTTAATAGCTGATTGCTATCGAGCTTTCATGTGCACGTATTGCAGCCTCTCCCCTGTGTCCGGGAGCTGGGAGCCAAGCCACAGCGGTGCACCATGCCCAGTGGGGCCGGGAGTCCCTGAATTGAGGAGACTCTTAGCCAAAGGCGTCGTGGACTCCGGGTCCCAGCAGCACCCTGTAGCCACAGATGCCAGGGCAATGAAAATGGCTCAGAGGCTGGGGGGACATGACTTGTGATGAGAGGCTGGGGAAACTGGTGGGCTTATTTAGTCTGGGGAAGAGAAAATGGAGGGAGGATTTAATAGCAGCCATCAACTACCTGATGGGGGGTTCTAAAGAGGATGGAGCTGGGCTGGTCTCAGTGGGGGCAGATGACAGAACAAGGAGCAATGGGCTCAATTTGCAGCAAGGGAAGATTAAGTTA